AGATGATGAGAGGTTTGTCTGATCAATCTGTGATGAAAAGCTGCAGGAAAACCCTGATTTATTTCATGTTTGCCATTATTTTTCTGTAATACATTCATTTGTTGCTTCTTCATTAGATGCAAAGACATCCAGCTGTGATGGCCGAGAGGTTAAGGCGTTGGACTCGAAATCCAATGGGGTTTCCCCTCGCAGGTTCAAACCCTGCTCACAGCGAAGTGGAAACAATTCTTTATTTGTTGAAAGTTGATGTCATATGAAGGGATAAAAAGATAAATCCATATCTGACTTATATTGAGGTTTCTTCATTCTGGTTGTGTCTTTAAACCCTTTTTTTTTTTTTTGGAATAATTAACTTAGACATGGTGGGAGGAAGTCCTGCTCTCTGTTTGGGGTCTGACAGCTGTGGATAATTTCATTTTCACGCAGCAATTAATGACAAATTGTCTCATCTACCTGCAACCTGGACTGCCCTTCCTCAAGGGCACAGGAATGTGGAAACGTTTTGGATTAAGACTCGTTTGCAGCGTTATGTTGTTATAGACAGCCTCATTCAATAAATGAAGGTCATTTAGTGAAAGTTTCACTAAACAGATGTAATTAAAGCATCTGACCTGTTCTATATGTGGTTCATTCATTCGTTCACCAGGCTATGAAATTATTGCTGCATCAAGCCGTCCGTCCATTGTTCTTTAAAGTAATGATCTTATATTCTGTTTTTTTCATGGTTTCAGTAGAAGTGTGTACAGAAACAGTATTCTGTGCATATAAGTTGAATAAAGTCACATCTTGAGTTTAAACATTGCTGATAGTTGGAGCGATGCATCATAAACGGATACATCTGAGGAGTTCATGCATAATACACACCAATGATCTGAATTTGCTGTTTCAGATGCAAACATAGTGTTGACAGTAAGAACATCCACACTTAGATCTTTTTTACTCTGTTCTGCTTCATTTGCTGTGAGCAGGGTTTGAACCTGTGCAAGAAAACCTCATCAGATTTCAAATCCAACGCCTTAACCACTCAGCCATCACAGCTCCTTGACACCAAGGGAATAAAATAATAAAATTAATCTTTTCTCAGCAATGAAAACGGGCTGTAGGCCACTCAGAATGCATTCAACCAAGTTTTAATGTCGCAGTTAAAAGCATTTTCTTTGCTGTACATTAGCGCAATGAGATGCGTTCCTAGTTACCATGACAACAGAACGAAACCAAATGATCACTTTGTGTCGCCTCTAATATTTTTTAAGTAGATTTTCATTTAAAAGTTTGAATTTTTGTCCTAATTTGTTTAATTTTGGTCCAGGGTCCGCAAATGGCCCCAGATTTTAAACACCCTGTATCTAATGAGAGCAAACCTGCAGAAAAACACAAGTCACTGCTGCCTGTTAATGATTTCTAATTGTATGCTCTTATTTCTATTTAGTATCAGAGATTTCTAGGTTTAAATCCACCAGAGTTCTTCCTTTCGCAAGAAAAATGCTGTTTTGCAGAGGATTCATGAAAACCATCGAGCTAATGTTTCCAGAGAAGTGAGGGCCATCGTAGCGTCCATCTGAGGAAATGTGCGTTGAAATGCCTCAAAGGTCTGACGGCAGCGATGGAGAGCACTTATCCAAATACACCCCATCCATGAAAACGTCCAAACGCAGACAGACGTGGAGGACAGCAGCTGCTGGCCCGTAATCCAATCCAATCATTTCCCCGAGATGCAGCGGCCAGCGAATAGCAGCTCGTTAATTTGACTTTAAAAGGCAGCAGAAGGGGATTTTTATTGCAGCCAAAACACTTTTTTTCTGCTTTGAAAATCTCACATGTTTTCATCTGTTTTACTAATTCAATCATGTTGTCACCTTGTCCAGATTTACGTTGAAAATCAGCTAAAATTAATTTATTTTATCATGGAAGAAATCCTCATTTTATGTTAAAAATGTTTTGCGTATTTATTTATTTAACTTATGGAGTTTTTTTCTTGCTACTCTTTTTGATCAAATCATTAAATAAAGATTATTTTATTTAATTATTTTTGATCAAATCATTAAATAAAATCGCCTTAAATCTTTAAATCTTCAGCAAAACCATATAAAAAACTGCTCAACTAAAATACTTAAATCAACATTAAAACAACATTTTCGTTAGTTTCCGCGACTTTTACGGTTTAATTTTTAATGTTGCCCAAACAGATTTCAGGCAACATTAAAGATCTGAGTTGTGTCTTTAAAGTTGCATTTAAGTCTCTTATTTAAACCAGAAAGTTTCTGTATTTTATTTCCACGTTGCATCACTGTGTTACTTTCTCAGCTCCAGCAGAGGGCGCTGTGGTTAAGGCGTTGGATTTGAAATCCAATGTGGCTTTCCTGCGCAGGTTCAAACCCTGCTCACAGCAAACGAAGCAGAATATCATACAAAATATCTAAAATAACGTTTAATGTTGAGATTCTGCATCAACTTGTGATGGACCTTCTTGTATTTTATACAGCTGATGTTTAAAATACAGCTGCAGAATCTTGAATGCAGCATTTAGTGACCTGTTTAGCATCGAGGAACCCTAGAAATGCAGCATTATTCCACGATAATGCAGAATATGTTGTTTCACAACAGAATCACTTTATTGAGATTTTTTTTTAATTCATTTTATGTGATTCTGAAGTGAAATATTTTTTTAATCCTTTCGCCAAAATAGTAATTTTCCTGAGTGAGAAAAATATGTCATCATTTGTAAAATACCCGCTGGAAACAGAAGCATCAGCTGTTTAAAAATCACATAATTTTATGCAGAGCAATGATTCCTGAGGGTTTTGTTTAAAGGAACCACTTATAAAAGGTTGATGGGTCTTTAATAAAAGTGGAATAAGCGTAAAGCATTTAAAGTAAGAAGTGATTGTGAAACTGCAGTCATGACGGAGTAATCTGCAGCTTTTAGAGGATCAACATGTGCAGAACAATGGCTGCTTCATCAAGCTGACCTGTAATTATGATTAATTCTGCTTCCAGATTATCTCCATCAGATAATACATTTATGCAAACAGCACACAGAAAATCCAGCATTTAGACTTTTGCTTCACAGATTAAACCTCTGAACTCCTTCTGCTCATCTGTTTAAACAGTGAAATATCAGATTGTGTTTAATAATCTGCAGAATACAGTTCAGGGATAAAAATGAATTGTTACTTTATATTATTCTGGTTTGTGGTGCAAAAATATTAGATATTGCTTCTCTGATCTATGCTTGAAATTTCTCTCTGAGTTTGCTTAAGTTTCATCCCCAAAAAAGTTTCATAAAGTTGAATTAAATCAGATAAAATGTTTAAAAACATCTCAACAGACCCAAGTTCTCATTTTTCCTCTCACCTGTGTTTGGTTTCTGCACCTCAACCATCAGTTCCAGTCATTCACCAGTTTATGAGCAACATGATAGAAAAGTTTTCTGTTTTTCTCTACTGAGCATTGCACACCGCTAAGTTTGGATCTTGGAGCAGAGCTCTGCATGCATGTGTTGCTGGAGAGAAATATTGCACATAAATCAGAATTTTCTTTTTAAATGATAACTGTGTGTTGATCATACAGTGTCTGTGAAGTCTGATGTCATTTTTCTGAGCTGACAACTTTGCAGTAAATCCTAAGAGTCGGTGTGAGTGTTGTTTATTTTTTTATTTTTTTGCCTCTTCTTCCACCTTCATTTTTGTAAATGAAGGTGGAAGAAGTTAAACCTGAATGAAACCTGTTGATTTGTTTAATATGAATGTACTAAAACATGTTGTTTCCTGCATGCCTAAACTTTAACAACTAACAACTGCATCCAAAACTATATTTGACAGAGTGAAACATGAGTTCATAGATGCAGAAAACTGGACGGCGATGCTCTTAATGCTTATTTAGATATTCATCATGCTGTAGAAAAACTAACATACCTATAAGTCAGACAAAAAGTGAAATGAGTCTGACTGTAATAAATTAACAACTTGTGACCTTATTTACTGCAAAAACACAAAATCTTACCAAGTGTTTTTTTCTAGTGAAAATATCTTATTTCACTTGAAATAAGACAAAATAGCTTTGAAGTAACTTTTCAGTAAGAGTTTGTTTTAAGTCAATAATGTCTTAATATTACTAAAAAGTATAGGGTTCACTGGTAGATTATTTCACTTATAATATGAGAAAATGTGAAATAATCTGCTAATGAAACAAAAACCTTTTCATCAACATTAAGGAGATATTGACTTAAAACAAACTCTTACTGAAAAGTGACTTGTAAGTTAGTTTTGTCTTATTTCAAGTGAACTAAGATGTTTTCACTAGAAACCAAAAATACTTGGTAAGATTTTGTGTTTTTGCAGGGTTGGAGACCTAACAGCTCCAGAGAGAATCAATCCCATTTTCTGAGTTTAGTTTAGTTGAAAAAAGTTTCATTGAAGTAATTAAGTTTATTGTAAACAGAGAATATTTTCTTAATAAAAATGTTGCAAACAGACAAAGATCAGCTGCAGAATCTTATTCTAACAGAACTGGAATAATAAAAACATCCTGGACAGATTTAATGTTCAGTTTGACTAAATGTGAGTTTAGATTCTTGACCAACCTTTGGCTTTCCTCCTGCTCTTCCTCCTCCTCTTCCTCCCGGACCTTCTGCTCACGTCACCATCTGACCTCTGCATGCTCCTACTGCAGGTCTCCTGCGCCGGTGCCATCGCTTCTCCTTCTGACCGACACGGAACAAGAAAAACCTCCACACTGTTTGGCAGAGAGGCTGACTTCTCCCCCCGCCGCTCTGCTGCTGCTGGAGGCTTTAGCAGGCAGTGACATCATGAGGAGGAGGAGGAAGACGAAGAGGAAGTGGAGGTCACAACATGTTTGTTTTCAAATCTAAGAGCGGAAACTAATGTCTTCTTCTTCTTTTGTTTAGTTTTGTTGCTTTGTGAGCTGCTTTCAGTTGCTTGAAACATGTTTTAAGAACAAACAATAGTAAAAGCTCTCTTCTCTGTTCTGTTTGTGTTTTTGATGCAGAATTTCAGCTGCTTCTTCCAGATTTAAGAGGGAAAGTCGCAGCCAGTCGCTGCTGATCATCAGCAAAACAAAAGCAGTTGTTGCTCTTTGCAGATCTGCAGCATGAAGAAAAACCCAGAAAACATTTAAGACAATCTTCCTAGGAGCAAATATGTCAACAAATTCACCGATGTCTTTTCTACACATGACATATTTGAACAAAACGATCCTCTCCATGTTTGGAGGAATCTGAACAAAAACAGTTCATATCCACAAAATATTCATATTTATGAAGAACAAGATGAAAACCAGCCTTTCTTGTTTTCAGCAAGGATTTTAATTAACAAATAAACACATTCTCTAAAGTTCATTTTTATAACTTCATTTTTATGAATAATCTTTTTGAGCTTGGTTCCAGACATGTAAGTTTAAGATGATATAAGTTTGTAACAGGTGAAATGTGAGTCAGGAAAAATATTTTCAGCGCTTAAAACTGTTACATTTTTAAAAATTTGTTGGAAATAATTTTCTAAGTTGGTGTAAAGTTTTTAAAATACATGTAGACTATCTAGTTTTATCACTCTGATAAATGACATAATATGTGACACCAGCCTATTTGCTCCTCTATTTGCATAATAATGCATGTTTTGCATAATCCTCTCTTTGTTCTTCGCTCCTTCGCCTCCAATCACCAGGTTTTAATCCCCGTCAATCATCTTCAACAAGTTGATCAGCTCCGATAGAGCAACTTGTATTTGCATTTTTATTTACTTGTGTTTCTTGATAAATTGATTTTTTTTTATCTTCTTTTAATTTTTAAATATTTATCTAGTTATTTGTTTGCTTTGTGTCACTCATGAAGTTATGCAGAAGAATCATTTCAGAAACACGTTTTGAATCAATTTGACAAAAGAAGTCACTACCAGGAATTAATTTCATTTTAATTTGTCTTTTTTTTATATTCTTTTTGACAATTATTCATTTTTATTGTTTTTTTCCCCACACCATTTTTATTTTATTTTTATATTGTTGCATGTGTTTTTCTTTGCACCATGACTGGACATGGAAGCGTAAACGAGCCCGGGTCGTTCTGAGTTATGGTCCTGGTATCTCGGCTGTGAAACATGCAGGAATCTCCCAGCAGACCCTCCGGATGCGACGCCCGGGGAATCGGAGGAAGCTGGTGATAAAGTCAGATGTTCTCACATATGAAACACCTGGACGTTTCCACGGTGAGCAACCATTTCATGTAATGTGGTAAAATAATATGCACTGCATCTCCTCCTGCCGCTTCCTGACCTTCAAACTCAGATAAAGTAGATAAGATCACGCAGACACAGCACAGAGGTTATTACTGCATCTGATGGGAAACACAGATTTCACAGATTGCGCCGTAGTTCAGCCTGTGGCTAAAACCTCGCAGGGCACAGGGAATGAGGTGTTGTATGAAATGAGCTCAGCGTCACATCAAATCGCTCTCCGATGTTCTCCTCAGGCCAGACATTACGGAGCGCCGCTGTAAAAACCTTCTGCAGCCTTCAGGCGAACTTCCTGCCGCTTTGTCAAGCAGGTTTGGCTGCAACTGCATGAAAACATGAACTGATCCCAAGTTTATCACTGTTTGCTTTGAGTTTTTGTCCAGATGCATTTAATGTTACCCTTTTTGAGACATTATTGGGCTCATTAGGTTGGATATTAAAGAAATTTCAGTATTTTCTGTTTAAAATCTTAAATATTTCCACCAGTCTCTGCATGCCAGTTGTATTGTGTCTTTTTGTTTTTGGGGCTGGAGCCCTAAAGTCAGCCACCCTTCACTGAACAGGCGTTGAGTTTAATTACGCCGTGAGAAAGTGACACCGTGATTAAGTTCATTAGATTTCATGAGCTTCTGAAAGGCGAACCGAATGGCTGATTAAGTATTAACTGTTGGTTTCCTCCCTGACAGACCAGCAGATCAAATCTCATCTCCCAGCGGGGCTCGCTGTGTGGAGCAATCCACCACCGGGTCACTGTGAACCGGGCGTCCGGCTGTCACTTTTAATCATGTTTACTTCAGATGACCCAACACAAAAATCCACGGATTTATGCATAAACCATAAAGAGCATAAAGAAGATATGATCAGCTTGGAAATATTGATATACAAGTCGGAACAATGACTGAATGTTAGGAGGGGATACAGGTTAGTGATGATCTACTGGAAATGGCGACATCTAGTGGTGATATTGTGTCATGTTGAGATTTTGCTGGTGTTTATTTAGCAAAAATGTGAAAGTTTTGAAAGCAAAAGTTTTAGCTATCTACGAGTTTCTGTAGATCAATCAGTAATATTCAGTGAAAATTCAGTGTTTTTATTTCTTTGCAAGACGAAAAAAGCATCAATGTAACCCCTGAAATTTCACCTTGTAGTGCCATTTCATATAGCACAATCAATAGTATCAAAGTGAGGGAAGACATACACACCTAAAACAGCATTATGGATCCTCAAGAGAGACTTAATGGGCACATTGAGCAAAAATTGCTGTGGCTCTTTCTGTGTGAAATAAAAAAAGTTTGTCCATAAATCAATGTGTAAATCTGTCTCTCAACCCCAATAGGGGTGACATCAAGATTAGTTGTGTTCCCTTGATGTCTATGTTATGAAAACACCATGGTTCAGCTTTAAATTATCAAAAATATTGAGCTGAACCCATGAAAGTGTTCATCTGGGTCTGCACAACACTGCAGATCTACAAGCAGCTACCTTGCAAAGGTCTGGAGGAAAATAAACCTGCAGCTAAGTTTATGTTGCAACACTGGACAAATCTAATTTCAAACGTCTTCAAAATGCTGAGAGTTTCTGCAGA